ATCTATCTATCTATCTATCTATAATCTGACAATATCTATCTATCATCTATCTATCTATCTAAACCTCTTATTTTGCTGCTTATTAATAGTTAGTAAGGTAGTTGTTAAGTTTAGGTATTGGGTAAGATTAGAGATGTAGAATATGGTCATGCGGAACATGTGCTTTATAACAACTAATAAACAGCCAATATTGGCATGTTAATAAGCAGCTAGTTAATAGTGAGAATCGGTCCCTGTACTAAAGTGTTACCTAAATTTTATTGTATTATTTGTTTTTCTATTGTTTTTTTCCCTCAGATTAATTATCAGTACTTCCACGTGTTCAATGTCTTGGAAATACTTTTTTTTAAAGATGCTATTATAGCCTTTACTTAACGTGTTCTGCGGTTTGAATAACAATTTGATAAATAAATTAATTAATACATTAAATAAAATAATATTATATATTAAAATATACATGAACAATTTTATATAATATTATAAAAAAAATAAATGTATGAAATTAAATAAATTGTCAATAATAAAAAATACACAGTTTTTTGTGGCAAAATATATTTTGTGTAACCCGCGTCTAAACAGCACATCTGAACAAAACTGTCTGTGTTTGGCAATTTTAAAGGTTATTCAGGCAGTCTTTTCTTGTCTAAATGGATCCATACCAGTACTAGAAATTGACTTTTTAAATATTTGCCCCTGGAATTTATTTTTAAGAGCACATTTTTAGAGGAGAAAATTTTTGCATGGTTTCCATTCATAACAAATGCTTGGAATAATTATAAATACTTAATTGGAGTTATTTGGATTATTTGGATTATATATATATATATATATACAATGTTATTAAATTATAAATGAAAATTGATTGTATAATGAATAAAAATATACTTCAGATAACATATGAAGCCGACAGACTTTTCCTCTTTCCTCAGACAGTGATCCTAAAATAGTCTTTGTTAGTGTTTTATTACATTTACAGCAACACAGACCTGAATCGTTTTACCCATAAATACCAGCTCTGCTGAGATTTCGTGTCTGCAGGGTTTTAGTGCCGTTGTTGTTGTTTTTTTTTTAACAAATTCAGAAAGACATTGAAACTTCATTCATTTAATGCATGTTGTTGGAACAAGAAGGAACTGACGAGCATTTCTTAGAATCTAAAAGTTGAACAAATCAGCCCATGGAAATGCCATTGATGTCTTGGTTTTGTGATCTGTAATTTAAATGTCTGCACTGTCATTGCCATTAAGTCTTTAAAACACCTCTAATTTGAACCATCCATTTATGCTCCAGTCCAGTCCAGGTTTTTTGGGGGGGGTTTTTTTTTTTGTTTGTTTGATTCTTCCTTCATTTAACAAGTATACTAAAACTTTCAGTTTATTACATCAAGCATTGCACTTGTCTTCTGTCAGTGGCTGGACCTTTTAGAGGCGATATATTCACAGCCTGTCTCTTTATCACTCTTTCTGACCAGATGTCTCCTCCTACCTCAATGAATTCAAACATGGTACTGTGAAAGGATGCTAGATATTACTTGGTCAACTGTAAATGGTATTATTGGAAAGAGGAAGTGTTTATGAACAGAAGAAACTCAGCAAAGTACTGAGTGCTGAGGCACATGGTGCGTAAAAGTCACTGACACTCTGCTGATTCCACCTGAAGAGCTCCAGACTTCCACTGGCATTAATATCAGCACAAAAACTGTGGTGGGAGCTTCATGGAATGGATATCCATGGGCAGCTGCATGCAAGCCTCACATCACCAAGTACACAGTTACTGGACTCTGGAGCAGTGGAAACCTGCTCTGTGGAATGATGAATCTCACTTCTCTGTTCAGCAGTCTGATGCACGAGTCTGGGTTTGATAAGTTGGTGGGTTTGGTGGAGAACATTGCCTGCCTAGCTAGATTGTGCCGACTGTAAAGTTTGGTGGAGGAGGGATAATTAGGACCCTATGAACTCCGTTTTTCTTCAAATTCAGTTTTTTCCATTTAAATTTTTCTGGATTCTGTTTTTCCCCATTTAATTTTTTCTAGACTCTGATTTAATGATTAAATAAAAAATTATTCGTCTAATTAATTGAAATCATGAAACTTATTAAAGAAACGATTTATTAAAAGTTTAGCAAAAATTACAATTTTAAAGCCACATGAAATATGTTTTACTTTCTGCTAAATCAATTCTGGTCAATATTTTTTTCTGGTAAAATAATGCTTTAAAAATAATGTTTTATTTATAATTGTATTATTATTATTATTAGTAGTAGTAGTAGTAGTATTACATTAAGTAATATTTCTGTCACAGTTTCTTCAAGTTAAACCGAACTTTTATTTTAATGGGTTGCTGTGAAGACCTTTAGGTTTCTGTTTGTATATGATATGATGATAGTTTTACTCAAAACAAACGGTGAAATGCTCTTGAAGTGGTAAGAGCAGTTCTAGACATTGTTTGTGTTTATGTACTCATATATTGAGGCGGCAGAGGCTGAAAACACCACGAGCGATTCAGTATGTGTGTGGTAAACGAAAATCGCGCATCTGCGCCATTCATTCACACAGAGACTGCATATGAACATGCAGGATTCATATTTAAATAGTATTTTTGTGGCTTAGTATTCACAGACACTAGTCTATATCTTGTTTTGATTTAGGTGTACTTACCTACTTTTGATTTATTCATCCACAATTTGGCAAATCCCGTTACATTCCGCGTTATACAGAAAATTCCGCGATTTCATCCAAGCTTTCTGCATTGCGGAAATCATAGGGCCCTAGAAAATGGTACGGGTTGTTTTTTAGGGGTTGGTCTGGGCCTCTTACTTCCAGTGAAGGGATAAATTTATGCTTCAGCACACCAAGACATTTTAGGCGATGCTATGCTTTCAACTTTGTGGGAATAGTTTGTGGAAGGCCCTTTTTCTATTCCAGCGTGACTATGACCCAGTGCACAAAGCAAGGTCCATAAAGACATGGTTGGATGAGTTTGGTGTGGAAGAACTTGACTTGCTCGCACAGAGTCTTGACCTCAACCCCATCCAACACCTTTGGGATAAACTGAAACAAAGACTGCACATCACTGCACTGCTACGGCATACTGTTATTAGTGAGCACCAAAAAGGAAAAAGGCTATTTATCCCCACTAATTATATAGACAATGCTGTAAGTATGTGAGGGGGAACATAAATAGTTCATAAAAAGATGTGCAAGGCCTTCTGTTGTTTTAGAAAGAAGCAGAACAAACATGGTAAATTAAATGAACGTCATCACATTATCATCACAAATGCCAAAAAGAACAATTACAGCCCCCTTTTGTGAAGCCATCAGCAAGCATCGGTCCGTAGCACACGGTCTGCGGGAGAGAGAGAGAGAGAGAGAGAGAGAAAGAGATGCAGAGAGTGCTTCAAACTACTTTAGGTTTGATTTAGCTGCAGCTGGCTGCTCCTCATTTCACTAAAAGCATTGAGCAAATACAAAATGGGCCTCCAAATGAAATTTTCAGAATGTATTTCCTGACTTTGACCGTCTGCTCTGGACTGAGGTGATGGCGGTGGAGCTTCTGAGAAAAGATCTTACGACAACATCTTGAGCTGAGCCGCTCTATGAGCTCATGAGGAAAAAATAACGGTGATAAGTTTTTAACAAAAATAATAACATTTTAAATAATATTTCCATAAAATAATTGTTCTCAGCAGCACAAAACTGTTTATAATTAATTTGGTGCAATGCAGTAAGCTAATAATGTTACAGGGACAAAAAGAAAAAGAAAAATTATTATTAACATTTTTATTTATTACATTTTTTTTTCAGTTTTCTAGTCAACTTATATAAATGCTAAATAGGGAAAATAGGTGGAACAATTTTTTCTGGGCCAAGAAAAGTTATTATTATTATAATAAGAAATTATTATTATTATGTGACATTTGAAATTGTTTTTTTATTAATTACTTTTAGTGACAATTCTGTAAGACATATTTTGATTAATATAATATGTAAGACATATTTTGACATATGTGTTAAAGGGGTCATATGATGCTGCTAAAAAGAACATTATTTTGTGTATTTGGTGTAATGAAATGTGTTTATGCGGTTTAAAGTTCAAAAAACACATTATTTTCCACATACTGTACATTATTGTTTCTCCTCTATGCCCTGCCTTTCTGAAATGCTTCGATTTTTACAAAGCTCATCGGTCTGAAAAGCGAGGTGTGCTCTGATTGGCCAGCTATCCAGTGCATTGTGATTGGCCGAATACCTCAAGCGTGAGACGGAAATGTTACGCCCCTTACCATATTG